TTTAAAAAAAAAAAACATCACATGTCCATGTCTCCATGTCAGCAACGCGTGGCTCTTGATTTTACATTTATAAACCACTGTACTAATAATCATTCGATAAAACAAAAAACCTACTTATTAAAAAATCGAAAACCCCTCCATGCATGTTTTGACAAATTAACTATTCAAGAGATGAAAATGTAATAAATAATTCAGGTACGATGTCTCGTTATTATGTAACCATTTAAACAGTTAATTATCATAATTTTCGTAAGCTCTTTATAAAAACAAAAAAAGTCATTAGCACCTAACCTCTCTCCGACGTCGTTTTGGCCTCTAATCATAGACCTTTTTTTTGGGGTGCAAAAAATCATAGACTACGACACATACAATAGTCATAAGTTTGAATTTTTTTATTAAAAGACAAATGGGGAAAATAATGTGAGAATATTATATAGTTTTACTTTTATAAATGCTATAGTCTATCAGTCACTCTATGGTCTATACTACTAACTAGTTAATAAATAAATATATTCCAAACTCTGAAATCATTTCATATTGAAAATACAATTTACTTTTGGGACGATTACAAAAATACCACTTTTTATATATACATTTGCAAGAATGCCACTTAAAGATATCTATTTACAAAAATGCCACTAATTATAGATTTATAAAACCTATATCTTACAATTTTAAACCCTAAAAAATATTTTGAAACTTAAAACCCCATAAATACTCAAAACTAAACCCTAATAGAACATAATTAACCCAAACATAAATAATATAAATTTTTTTTTTTTTGAAAAAATGGTATTTTTGTAAAAATTTAAAAAATATGGCATTTTTATAAAATAACACTTAAAAAGTGAATTTTTTTTTAATTTCTCTTCTCTTTTTATACTTGTTATACGGTATGACATTATTTACTGCAACTAAAGAGAGGAATCTCATATACAGAGACAAGTGAAAGTGATAGGTCGATGAATAAAACCGTAAGAAGACCAAAAAGACACGTGGCAGATTATGATTGGATTGTACTGTAAGCACAAGAGTCATGATTGGCTTTGACTCTTCTGTCCGAAGAAAAAAAAAAACTAATCCATTCACGCGTTCAGATAACCTTTCGAACATCCGTTTCCCAATGTTTTCCGTTTCTGGTCTCCATTTGAAACGCCGACGTTTTTGATGTTTCATTATACGAACAAGACCGGTTCTCGTAAACCGAAAAATTAATTTGTAAAAGGTTTTTACAGAATTGAACCAAATCAAGGAATACAAAACCAAGAGAAAGGAGAGAAATGTATTGATGCTAAATGAAAAGAAAATAGAAAATAAAAACCCAATTCAAATTGAACCGAAATGAACTCAACTATATAACTTTTTAAATTTTTTAGTTTTTAACTAAATAAATGATGCAGTCTAATGTAACAACATGTTTTTTATTATTTAAATCACAATTTAACATTCGTTTAAAGAAACTATATAGTTAGAGTTCGTTTCGGTTCATTTTGATTCAGTTTATATTCCAAATCCAATTCGAATTCGTTTGTTACCGAACCAAATACACCAAACTATATTTTAAAAAAATTATATACTGAATTTGTTTGAACATTTTTTCCCAAAAAACAAAAAAATAAATGAAGTTATGTACCAAAGCCGAACCGAAAAACTACAATGGCATATAACGTAAATAACTGCGGTGTAAATATTTATGGGCTTCAATATTTTATCGTCAAACCCATAGGCCCAGGACAGAGAAAGGGTAGATAACAATCATTTTCTGCTTCACTAATAAACGACAACGTTTCACCTTTTAGATATTTGTATTTGGTTTAATTAATTAATTGGTCTTTATTTAATGGTTAAGCTTTAATTAATTGATTGGTCTTTGATTAATATATTTACATTTGCAATTACGTGCCCACTGGTAAATTATTTAAACGTTTTAATCATTGTTTAACAGTTAAACTAAGATAGTACCCGTACGCACGGAATGAAATGAAACACCAGTTCAAATTTGCATATTACTTTTTATTTTGTACAGTGTATTTCACCTATGAATAAAAAATACATAAATCGAACTGAACTGAATCAGAATTCACCACTTCGAACCAGAACAAAAATATATAATAATTCGAATGGGTACAAAAATTTATATATATATTAAATTATCTGAAACGAATTCTAATTATACAAACCCGAACCGAAGTAGTTGAAAATTACTAAAAAATATTATTTTGTTTCTTATTTTATATTTTTGAATTAATTAGCGGTATTTATCTCATTATTATTTGATGCACTAATTTTTGACA